TTACAAAACACCTAACTCACCACCCGTACGACGAGAGTAAATGTGTGTGTGTGTGTGTGTGTGTGTGTAGTTGGAGAGGGTGGGGTGAAAAACAACAAGAACAACAACAAAAACAACAAAAAACAAAACAAAAACAAAACAAAACAAAAAACAACAACAACCAACGAACAAAACAAACTAACTTGAAACTTATGTATCCAATCAAAACAAAATTCCCACAATGCAATGGTGACTAGTTGCGTAAGGTATAAAAATGCAATCTGCGGAGCTGGATTTAAAAAACTTTGTTTTCAGTTGTAGAAAAAGATGAGAGCAGGAGTTACTACGAATTTTCCTTTGGGAAAAGATCTATATGTGACATGTTCGAAGTCGAGCAAAGTGGGAAAATCAGAGTTGAAGTTCGTGAAGTGTAAAGTGGTACAATCTCTACTGACTCCGAATCAAAGTGTGGTTATTCCTTCGAGAGTAGGTATCACCCTTTCAAAGAAACAGTTTGAACAATTGGTGAAAAATATTCCTTGTATCCAGTCGTGTATGGATTCTTTAAACGAGGGACCGAACGAGGACCCTAACAGTTGTGATATGACTCTCAGTGGAAACATTTCGAGCTTTTACAGTCGATGGGATACAAACAGGGACCAGCCACCGAGAGAATGATTACGAGTGGTCAGAAGTGTCAGTGATTTTTTTCTTTTCCTTACTGTGCTCGGAGACCATGAGTGAGAATTAAAGGAATAGAAAAATTCCCATGTTTTCTGTGGTTTAGTGTGTTTACGTGTATGTATGTGAGGTGTGGTCATTGGTGTTTGAAGAAGAAAAAAAACTGTGTGAAAAGATGGATTTGAACAAAAAACAACGAGCACATTTCTCGGGAGAAGGAGAAAGGCGAAAACGTACTTCACAGGATGGTGAGAATACTTTAGACGAGAGCAAACGCTCAGGTAAGAAACCACGTTTGGTGTTAAAATTGGTGAGAGGGGAAGATGCTGAGTGGGAGGTACAACAACCCCAACTACAACCGCTCGAGTTAGTGCGAGAAGAGGAAGATTCTCGTTTAGAGGGAGCTTTACCCGCTGTTCAACCTCATCTGAGACAAACATACAAGGACAACTGGTCATCGATTAAAAGTAGATTTAAAGAACCTACACAGAACAAAAACCACGCTTTTTACAACATCAGATGGGAAACACAAGACAAACCTCAAGATTGGGAAAGTGTTTTGAGGAGTATTTTTAATCGCCAAACCAAGCGCTTTAAGATCAACTACAGTCATAGTTTTATCCTGTATAACCGTGAATTGGAACAATACAGATTCTACCATGCCTCTAACAACGTAGGTCGAGTGTTGGAAGTACCACGTCACATTAACAATTTTGACAATTTTAGGGACTTCATGAAGACAATCAACAATCGTGACATATTAGCGTACGCGATTAATCATCGTCCGTCATCAAAATGGGTTGTATCGATGATTACGAGCACGACGTTTTTTGTTGATTCTATACGGGATTTTCCTATCGGATGTTGTTTTACGACTCCAGTACCTACAAAAATAAGAAACAGTAAGGGTATCTTTGTATTGGAAAAGGATAAAAAAAGTGGGAGAGTCTACAACGATCAACTCTGTGTTTTCCGATGTTTAGCTTTGGCAAAAGGAGCCTCTCTACATTCCATCAACCGACCAGCTAAAGAACTGAAGAAAAGTTGGGGGAGGAAAACCGTGAAGCTCAGTAACTTGGTAAAACTAGAAGAACATTTTAATATCAACATAGATGTTTTTACCTTTGACAACGACGAGGATTGCCTTCAACCACATGTAAGAAGTGAGCGTCGATACACGGACACTATGTACGTTTTATTTCATGAAAACCATTTTTGTTACATCAAGGACATAGATAGACTAACACATTCATTTGGCTGTTCGAAATGTGGGAAGTTATGGGAAAAAAAAAGCTCGTTTAAACAGACACGAACGGTCGTGTAACGGACCAACAGGACAACAACAAGTCTACCCCGGTGGTGTTTATCAAATACCACAGACAAGTCTTGAAATTCTAAAAGAGAATGGGATCAATGTAGATACAAACTTTATGTATCCTTTTAGAGCTGCCTACGATTTTGAAGCATATTTCAAACAGACGGATAAAAAGTCGGACAAAACAAAATACACCGCGGAACACGTCCCCATGTCTCTCTGTATTTGTTCTAATGTACCAGGTTTTACCAGTCCTAAATGTTTTGTTAGTGATGGAGACTCACAAAAGTTGGTAGACAGAATGGGTGATTATCTAGAAGAAATTGCCGATAAAGCTTACACTCTTTTAAAAGAAGACTTTGCTTCTGCTTACGAGGAGATTTACAATAGGAACGATACGAAGTTACTCAACGTGTTGGACAATTATCTTCGTCAAGTGCCAGTTGTTGGTTATAACTCAGGGAGGTATGATATAAATCTGATAAAACCCTATTTCGTTAAACGGTTCGTACTCGAAAAGGATGATGATGATGAGGAGGAGGAGGAGGATGAGGAGAAGGAGGCGGAATATAAACCTACAATCATCAAAAGAAATAATGATTTCATATCCGTCCTCACAAAAAAATTCATTTTCCTGGACATTACGAACTTTTTGGCCCCTG